TGCATACGTCATTTCACATATGTGAAAGTATGTTGTTTCTAGTTGCCATCAAGTCGATTCTGACTCATGGTGACCCCAGGTGTGCAGAGAAGAACTGCTCCCTAGGGTTTTGGTGTAAGAAATAATATAAGAAGTACAATTGCTGGATCAAAGAATATGTGTATTTGTAATTTTTAAGATACTGCCAAATTGCAAGATAGTTTCAATCTTGACTTTAAATACAACAGTGCTTCTTGTTAAAAGTAGCCATTTAGGCCCAATGGAACAGATAATCAGTATCACATAGGCTTTTTCAGAATATACATGAATAGTGAGGTTTGAATTTGGGAAGTTGTACTTTTCTAACTTTGTTCTTTCTTTCTTTCTTTTTTTTTTATTTTTTTATTTTTATTGTGATTTAGGTGAAAGTTTACAGAGCAAATTCACTTTATATACAGCAGCTCACATACACTTTGTCTCATGACATTGACTTCAGTTTCCCACAGTGTAGCAGCTCTCTTCCCACTTCCTTCCCCTAGTTACTTCTTCCCTGTGTCCTTCCCTCCCATACCTTCCTACCTCCTGAGATGTTTCCCTGTGCATATACAGCCCATCTATTCTCCCATGGTTGATCTCTCCAAGGAGCATATCTACCTAATGTAAATGTTCAGCTCATATGCCTTTTCTTTGGCTGGAAGCCACAGGGGTGAGTTCAGTTCCAGACCTGAAGGGCAGCTAGGGCCCGTAGTCTCAGTGGTTCCATCCGGCTCTATCAGACCAGCAAACCTAGTTCCTAATTTTTTTTTTTAATGATTTTGAATTTTATTCCACATTGTTCTCCCATTCTATCCAGGATCTCCTACATAGATCCCACTTCGAGTGGGTGACAGTGATAGCTAGGCACCATCTAGTTCTTCTGGTCTCACAGGTTTATTGGCTGAGAATCGCATGGTAATACCAGTTGCTTGGACTAATTGTTTCCATGAATCTTTGGTTTTCGTCATTCTTCTTTGTTCTGGAGGAGGAGAGACCCACTGTTGTATCTAGATGGCCACTTGCAAGCTTTTAAGATCCTAGTTGCTACTCACCAAAGTGAGATGTTGAACAATGTTTTTGTATAGTATGTTATGCCAGTTGAGCTTCATGTCCCCTGCAACTATGGTCCCGAGCCCACAAGTGCAACTACTTGCTCCCTCTAGGTAGCTGAGTGTGGACAAGAAGTGACTACAACCTTGTCTCTTATTAGCTCTGCTATGTACCTGGACATTTTTACATAGCATACAAATACACTTGTAGAAACATTGCCTTCCAGCCCTATACATGGATGGTTATGGCCACACTCCCCCTGTGGTAGTTAAGTTTGTGTGTCAACTTGGCTGGGCCTGGTTGAGTGGCTGGGTAGCTGGATGTAGTATTCCCCTTGATGAGTCTGGTAAACAACTCCATGGTGGACTCTACTGTGAGCAGCTGAGTTAGCTGCCTTAGGGATGTGGTCTGCTTCCTGTATATAAGAGAAAGTCTTGGGGAATGGTCTCTAGCTTATGGCATGCTTGATAGTCTATTTATGCCATATATTGTTATTGTTGTTGTTATGTGCTGTGGAGTCAAACCCAACTCATAGTGACCACTCCTTGGGTTTCCGAGGCAGTATCACTATGGAAGTAGATTGCCCAACCTTCCTTTCGAGGAGTGGCTGGTGGGTTTGAACCACCAGCCTTCTGGTTAGCAGTCA